TACATTAGCTGCAATAGCACTATTATCAACCCAAATAAATACCTTTATTGATTTGGAACCAAACTGAGACACAATGGTTTCAAAAAGAGGGACAAAATTCTAAGTCACCCAGGTAATTCAGACACTAAACATTATTAATTTAAGTCAGACAAGGTCCTACAAATAAGACAGCAGTGTCACAAAATTGGAGAAAAGCAGTGGATGCAACAGTCCTTTAGATGCTTCAAAGGTACCCTCAGAATTGTTTCTCATTTCTACTCTGAGCACTTGAGACTGGTCTGCACAATGACCTGGCTGACAAGTCTCATGCTGTGGGAGAAGAGCACTGGCATGCAGGCCACAGACACATAAATGCTTCATAAAAGTAAAGGTTCCCCTTGACAATTAAGTCTAGTTGTGCCTGACTCTAGGGGCCGGTGCTCATCTCCGTTTCTTAGCTGAAGAGCTGGTGTTTGTCTGTAGAAACTTTTCATGGTTCATGTGGCTGGTATGACTAGACACGGAACGCTATTACCTTCCCACTAAGGCGGTACCTATTCATCTACTCATGTTTGCATGCTTTCAAACTGCTAAGCTGGCAGGAGCTGGGACAATCAACGGGAGCTCACTCCGTCGCATAGTTTTGAACTGCTGGCCTCTTGATCAAGAGCCCAGTGGCTCAGCAGTCTAACCTACAGAGCCACCCACATCCCAAATGTTCCGCACATAAAGCCATATTCAGGCATGCCAAACTCATTCCTTCCCCTTCTGAGAGGGCAGGAACTAGGGTCTTCCTTCATACAGTTGACTTATATTTGCGTCATATGTCCTTTCATGCTGTGGTATTGACCGGCTAATTAATATACATTTATGTTTTGCCTCATTTTAAAAAAAAAGAGGTTTTCTTCAAGTCACTTGACAGACTAGACAAACATACACAGCAACAGGTAGGAACCTCTCCAGACTGTTTTTTTAAAAAGGCTTAAAGTGTTAAACGCCTGGAACAGGGATTTCTTAGTGGTGGCCTCACATGCATGGAATTCACATACATTTCTAAGGCTCCATCATTGTCAGGTCATTATTTAAGTTAAGGGGGTTCATAATGGAGTGTTATGCACTGGATTTCCTCGTGCAATGTCTTAGGCCAATGAGCATATGGGCCAATCTTTGGTACTTATCTAAGCCATTGGTTCCCAGTCTATACTAATCCCGGTGTTATGGACTGCAATTCCCAGAAGCCTTCACCACCAACTGTGTGGGAGCTGCAGTCTAAGAACACCTGGGTTACGCAAAGTAGGGAACCATTGATCTAAGCAAACAATCTGGACTTCTTGGTGTTTGAAATAAAGGCTGATGGGAACAAATTCCAGAGGGCTGCAGTTTGCTTGGCTCTCTTTTAAATGGATTTTCAATGCTAAAAGATCCAGCTTTGCCACCGATGATCCTAGACGGAAATAGCATACTCGCAGAGCGTATTGTCTGGAATTTGAAATGTAGCAGCAGCACAAAAATAGCTGGTGCTCTGGTATCTCACAGAAACGTACACTCTTAAAATTATCATTAATTAAGCCATAGCTTGTCAGACCATTTCCTAATATATTTGCAGGAGGAAAGACTGTACCTGCTTTTTAAAGATGTTTAACTTCTTTCAACAAAGAGTAACATGTGCACAGAGAAGTGAGCCAGCATGCTAAAACACTGAAGTCTTCTGAACTGTAACATGCACAAAGGATTCCTACTGCAACTGGCTATCTCTGCTTACCAATCAGCAAGGTGAGATGCTTCCAAGTGCTCTCAAACTATGCATCAAGGATGAGGGAACCAGCAGCTACATGCCTGCCAGCAGGAACAGAATCTACTTTACAGCTGCCAAGAGAAGCTGTCTATTGTCAAACACCTTTAGAATATGAGACTATTGGAGTATGTCCAAGTTTCTCCTTTCACCACCCTTCTACCCGCCCCTGTGCATGTGGTCAAGTTAGGACCTCAAGCAATTTGTGGTTGTTATCTGCCATCAAAGTCACCTCCAACGTATTGCAACTCCATGAATGAGTGAACTCTAAAATGTCCCACCCTCAACAGCCCTACACAGATCTTGTGAACTCAAGCCTGAGGTTTCCCCTTTTGGGAGTCAATACATCTTATATTTGGTCTTCCTCATTTCCTGCTGCTTTCAACATTTCCTAATATTATTGTCCTTCCCAGAGAATCCTGCCTTCTCATGATGTGCCCAAAATAGGAGAGCCTCTGTTTCATCTTTTTTTGCCTCCAGAGATATTTCAGGCTGAATTTCATCCATGGTCCACCTGTTCATCTTTTTGGAGGTTCAGGGAAATATTTCACCAACATATTTGAAACAAACCAGTTTTTTTCCCCTTTCAGCTTTCTTTACTGTCCAGCTTTCACACCTGTACATGGTAATCAGGAACGCGAAAGTGTGGATGATCTTAGTCTTGGTCTCCAGTGACACATCCTTACCTTTCATTATCTTTTCTAATTCCTTCACTGCTGCCCTTCCATGTCTCAGTCTTATTCTGATTTCTTGGATGTAGTCTTCATTTAGATCAGTGACTGAACCAAGGTATACAAAATCCTTCACTATTTCAGTTTCTTCATTGTCGACATTAAAGTTGTGTAGTTCTTCTGGAGTCATGATTTTTGTCTTTTTAACATTCAACTGTTCAACTTTGGCAATTTGTTCTTTTCTCTTTCACTAAAGGTCATTTCAAGTCATTGCTGCTTTCTGCCAGTAAAATGGTGTCATCTTGCATATCTTACATTATTGATGTTTCTTCCACCAGTCTTCACTTCTCCTTCATCTAAATCTAGTCTGGCTTTCTGTATAATATGTTTTCCATACAAATTCAGCAAAACAATCAATGGAATAAGTCTGTGGCTTGTTCCAGGGGGAAAGGGGGGAAAGGAAGAAATGAGGCACTGCCTTGCTACAGATGGGCTCCATATCTCGACACCTTTCACAAGCAAAGTACAAGCAGGAATAGTAGTAATAATAATAATCGTATGCTGTCAAGTTAATTCCAACTTATGGCAACCCTTTTTGGGGTTTTCCAGGTAGAAATACTCAGAAGTGGTTTACCATCCCCTTCTTCTGGATACCCTGGGAGATTGTACAAGCTTGCAAAAAGCCACCCTGGCTGGCCCTTCTCCCAAGAGACCAAGTGCAGAATCAAACTCTCAATCTCTGGCTTTGCGACCCGATTCTTAAACCACAGAGCTATCCAGCCAGCCTATGTACAAGAATGGAATAGGAAATAATAGTCAAGACAAAGCCGGTTATTCTGGAGGAGAATGCAAGGCAGGTCCTCCAAGTCACAAAATCTCAGGGAAACCAAAAATATTATACACACGTAAGCAGGATGCTGTTCTATTGAGGATGTGTCCACATGTCTGCACATCTGTGTATCTGTAAATATTAGTATAGCATAAAGCAGAACAGAATATGAGTGGGAAACTGGTGGCCCTCCAGAGGTTATTGATTCATCAGTCCCTGCCGTCCTGGGGAATGGTAGGGATGACAGATTGTAGTTCAACATCTGGAGTGTCACAGGTCCTCCAGTCCAGCCCAGCCTAACCTAGAACATTTTTTTTATTTTCTATCTTAATTTTTGATCCAGAAAAAAAAAATCCAATGCTGGTTATATAAGGCACATACATCCCAAGACAGACATTTCCCCCTTCTGATATGCAACCCATTCTTCTTAGATTATTACATGCGAAGATGTTATATCTGATCCATTTAAAGAGAACAGGAACACTGAGGATGAAAGATAAGTGATCTGCCAAAGGTAGATAATAAATCTAAAGCAAAAAATGATCAATCTGACACATTAGTTCCATAATAGCAATCTGTCTGAATAAAGACTGAAGAATTCTATTTTATTTTTCATACAGCATATGACGTGCACATCTGTCTGTCTGTCTGTCTCTCTCTCTCTCTCTCTGTGTGTGTGTGTGCAATAAACCAATAAAAATCTTTTGTCATGAGGACAAACTTGTGTGAGCATCAGGTTCATACCTTCTTCCATCCTCATGGTCCTCCGGTGTGGCTGAAAAGAAGGTTTTGTTTCCATTTCAGGTTAACTACATGTTACTATGATATCTGAACTTGGACATATTTTTATGGTTTTTTTTCCCCAAAGACAGCTTCAAACCTTCGACCACAAAGCTGACTTGTTTCAGCCAACCACGGTTGTGATAAACTGTGGTTTAGGATCTAATTCCTAAGATGGCACCACAAAAACTGAAGGGGAGAGAATGTGCCCAAAGAGTTATTGCATTGGCCTCTGACAACTGACTGCCAGGCAGCCTGTGTGCCAAAAAATAATAAGAATAAGGTGATGTTTCCCTTTCCTGGAGCAGTGTTACAGCAGGTGCAAAAGGTTCTGGACATCCTGATCACCTTTTTGACAGCACTATGGCACTCAGCAGTAGCCTCTGGATACTCTGTTTTACATTTCCAGAGGACTGTCCCAACCCAACATTTCCCGGGATTTGAAACTAAAATGCCCAGTGTTTTTCTCCTTTTTTCCAGACCTGAATACCTATTCCCAGCAACCTCTACAAGAAAATATAATTGCATTCACCTGCGTAGCTCAAAACACTTTGGATCTAACCCCCCAGCATTCTGAACACTTCGAGTAATTTCACTGAATTAAAATGGAATTCTGTGAAGGGAGAGAAGAAAGGTGGGGAGAGTTTCACTGGGAAACTGTCTGAAAGTTTTATTGCTTATAAAAAGATAAAACAACACTGAGGTGTCTTTTTTTAAAGTAATCTAACATAATTACTGTCAGAATTGCAACTGAAAAAGCAAAGTTGCTTTTTATTTTAATTTTATTAGAGAGACGTGAACAAAGGCTACCCAAGGCACCACAATAAAATTGCATTAACTGTAAAATTACATTATTAATTCTTTAATCTCACTTGAGGCCTCAAGCTGTTGCTATGTCCAATTACCCAGCTAACCACCTGTCAGAATTGTAAAGCTAGTTTAACATTACCTCCAGGACAGTTGGTCGCCCTGTGTTCGGTCAGGTCTGCCAGCGAATCGAAGTCCTGCTGACAGTTATCGCAGGTGTAAATTGACTCGTCCTCCATGTCTTCATCATCCTCATTGCGCTCTTCCTGACTTGTAATGCTGTTCCTCTCTTCCAAAGCCCGGCTCTCCCTGGTATCATTCTCCAGTTCTCCGCCCAGGCCCCCTGCCAACGAGAACAGAGCCCACTGAAAGTTTGAATAGGAATAAGTTTTTAAAAGCAAAGGACTTTCACAGGTTGAGATACCTTCATTATTATTTTACCCACATCTTCTGGTTATTTCCAACATTTCTCATGTTTAGATTGAACCTTACCAAAATTTACTGATTAGCCATTCATTTTAATTTTTTTTTAAATCCTGTTTTCCTTCTACTAGGGGAAGTCAAGAGTATCTAACAACATTCTGAAGCAAATAATAAGATCAATATCAAACGTCCTAATAAAATATAACAAACAAACAAAACCTAGTACTGTACACAGGACAGATTGATTATTGGTTGAGCTTTTCCCAAAGGGCTCTTGAAAGAGAATGACAGTAACAAAGCAGTGAAGAATCTGTGGTCATCCAGATGTTAATGGACTCCAGTTCCCATTATTCTCAGACAGCCTAGCCAATGGTTAGGATCATGGGAACTGTAGCCCAGCCTGATCTGTAGCCCAGGGAGTACATTTCAGTCCATTTCCACCACAGCCCAAACAACCCCTAAGAAAACATTCAAAGTGTGATTGATATTTCACACTTTGAACATCTGTAAAAATGTTTAGAACATTAAAATCAAGTACATCCATGAGTTAAGCCACACATAATTTTGGTAACATTAAAAATGTGTATATAAGTAACATTTCCTATATACTCAGCAACAGCCAATAATCTTGATAGTTAGTTGTTATAGGTTTTTCGGGCTGTTTGGCCACATTCTGGAAGTTTTTCTTCCTAACGTTTTGCCAGTCTCTGTGGCCGGCATCTTCAGAGGACAGGAGTTAGAACTCTGTGTTCTGATAGTGCTCATATGCTCACTTGGTACAGCACCCACAAAAAACCAGTACAGAATTACTAGCTTGAAGGTCCTGCATGTTCTGCGTTAAGGGATTCCACCAAAGACTTGGAGCCCTGCGTTCATGTCATTTCACGCTGTGAAATCCATAAGCAAATGAACCATAGAAAGCCTTATATTTGGCTTTCTATCTGTCCGTCAGCTATTGTAGTTTACCTAAGTAAAGGTTTTTATGTCATTCAGACCCAGACCCATGGATAATTTAAACATAGTTCACATCATTGCTTGTCTGAAACCAGCTTTTTTGAAGCCACCCATACCATGTGTTAATCATAGTCAAACTGGATATCATAACAAACTGTAGCTAAAGAAACAAAAACTGAAGCAAAAGCTTACAAACTCCTCCAGAATCTGGCAATAAATGTAAGTGACTGAACGGTGGTTTAGCATGACATGCAAGTATGGCCCTTAGCCTCACAAAACAAATTCTCAGCTCTCCATAAAATCAATACAAATGGCCCTCAAATTAATGTTTGAGACTCTTTCTCCCCCCCCCCTCAAGTATTAAATGTGGATATTAGCTGTTTCATTTTACAATTCCTTTGAAGGAAAACAATAACATTTGATTCAATTTCTCCCATGTCTTAGACAAGGGAGACAACGATGCCAGCCAGCACTGATAAATACAAACACAACCAAGAAATACAGTTTATTTCATGAGAATTTCAACTCCAGTGTTGCATCTGTTGGTGGGGTCCGTTCAACGTAAGCCACTGAAAACCAAAATTTCATGCATTCGCTGCATTGAGCAATCCAGCATAAATCTGCTACTAGAAAAACATTATGTGGTTTTCTGGGGAGTAATCACAGCATGCCATACCCTTTGGACAGAAATAGAAATATTAAAAATCAATGCATAAGCTTTTAGTGTATCATAAGATCTCTCAATGTTTAAATCAACAGCACATTTTCACATGCAGCAACTGTCACAGCATACCAGCACATTAGCTACAGAAGCCTATTAACATCTCTAAACATTGAGCTTTGTGCTAGTAATAAGGTTGGAAAGAAAAGCTGTTTCCTAGGTAAACATCTGTCATCTGAATTGGGGATGATTCAAATAAAGAATAATTTTCTTCTTTTCTCTTACAACTTATTCATTTCATTTTAGAAAAAATAGACTCTTCAGGTAGAAAGCAAGCTGCAGAGCTAGACCTACATTATAATAATCAGCCACATTTAGGACTGTGCTTTCCTCCAATGACTGCATTCCAATTATCACTTTCCATTTTATTATATTTAATGGATGCACCTTTTGAGCATTCTCACATTCCAGCCACAAATCATCAACATTAATGCCAATTCAATCTCTTCAAAGCCTGCAAGCTCTCCAGAGCTGATAGTTAATAAATCAGGATGCCAACCCACCAGTTTTATAACACTGAAACCTATAAAAAGAGTCCAAGTATATAAATTTAATTTAAAGAATTACCATCCAAATCAACACAGAAAGCATATGGAACACCATCCCTGAAACCTAATGTTGTGAAAGTCCTGGATTAAAAAGTTTGGACAAAATCTATTCAAGGGGCCTATTTTTATTATTCATTTTTAGAGCAGCTTTAGCACTCAAGAGTATTTTGCAATTCTTACTTAAGCACCCCTCTGAGACAGATCAACGATATTTTCCATTTTGAAGTTACACTGCAAGCCAATTCAAAACATCCTCAGCCACCAAATGCAGACATCTACTCATGTTCCTATACAGTGACGGCTGCAGTTCCAAGCTATGGGGCTGTGACACATCAAGACCCTTCTTTATGTCACCATATAGATCTCAGTGCAGAAACGTTGGCACCATTTTGGACTTCAGCAACCACTCGGCATGTTCGGCATCAGGAACTGGGGATTTGTAAACTGAAACAGCTACAGTGCCAAAGCTTCTCTGGTCTGATCTAGATCCACCAGCACAGAGCTTTCTAACCGAGAGCCTCCAGATGTTCTTGGATTACAACTCCCAGAAATTGTGGCCAACACAGCCACTGGTGAAGGCTCCTGGGAGTTTTAGTCCAAGAACATCTGGAGAGCCAAGGTGGGAACCACTGCGACAGCGGTGCCAATGCATCACTCAGAGTTCCTAAACCTTTGGGTTCTATTCAAAAGCAAAGCAGATCCCAATAGGCTGAAGAACCACTGTACCGGTGAGTTTCAAGCTGCCAATGCAACACTCAGAGTTGCTAAACCTTTGGGTTCTATTTAAAAGCAAAGCAGATCCCAATAGGCTGAAGTCTGCCCACCTCTGGATGAGGACTGGGAAGACCCATGATCAACTCTCAGCTCACAGACTTGCCTTCATGAGGCAGTCTTTTCTCAGCCTAATGTAGTTTCCTGGGATCTTTCTGAGCATAATGACAAGGGCCTCTCTAAGAATCTGGGGTGGGGTAGGGGATTAAACTAAAAATGGATATGAAGGTAGAAAAGACTAGAATGCAATGGCTAACAATGCACAGTAAAGAGAAAGCATATCTCAAGATGCTAAAACTGTAATTTCCCCCACCTCTGGAAAGAAATTGGAGTCATTTTGTACGACGAGGGTCTTAGTATTCCACGAATTTTACTTTTCTTTGTCCTTCTGTCTGAACAAGGAGGAGGGAGACACAACTGTACTACACAAACATTTTTTAAAAAATTGGTCCAGCACATAGTTAATGGTGTTGGGTTCCTAAAGCTTACAACTTAATAAAATTGATCTCGCTGCAGTGCTGTAATGAAGAACAGTGGGATAAAGCAACCCTTGAACTAGGGAAAATTGTATATTGTTACCTCCTTGTGACCTCCTAGTGTTGTGGCCATTCTAACCTCTACAAGCTGTCATTTGTATGATTCTGACAGCAGATGAAACAGCAGAGCAACGTACATCAGGAAAGAAGGGTAGAAATGAAGAAGTCTTTGCCAGGAAGGTCTGTTCAACAATATTAATACAAACCGATGACACTGGGAAGACTCCGTGTTTTGTTCGTATTTGCAAATGTGATTTTTGTATCTTTTTTTTTTTAGCACGCTTAAATGTCTACAAAAAGGCTTTGGGCCATAAACAGTAGAAGCTACACTGGCTTCATTTGTGCTAAGCTAAAAACAGAAAGAGGATTATTGCATAGAATTATTTGATGTAATCTTCCACTATACTAGAACTCAGAGGAAAGCAACATACAGCAAGTTAGACCACTGGGTCTATCTAGCTAAGAACTAGCTATGCCAAGTTCTAAATGCAATCAATATTCACTGCAAAAATAAAATATATATATATACTTCTTTTTAACACTGCTGCTGATTTTTTAAAGTGGTGTTTTTACTCTCATGCAGGACTGAAACCCACCCCAGCAGTTAACAGATGGGAGTATTTCAATGTGTCCAGATCTCTCTTTTTTTCAACCAGAACAAGAACGTTCACAAATATTCATTACATCCTTAATATTGCAATATATTTACTCACCACACATAGAATAGAACAAGCAAATGCTAGATCAGTAAGATTTCAATTTGGTTTCTTTACAAAATAACCATCCATCTATCTCTTTAACACAAACCATTCTCACTATATTGCAGCATAAAGCAAGATGCAACTGCAGAAAGTTTCCAGGTAGCCGAAGACAAGAAACAACGGGAACATATTTCAAGGCTCATAAGCTGTGTTCGTGAATCAGAACCCAGCAGTTAAAATTACCAACCAAATGTAGTTTCCAGAAACCTGTGCTACTTGCTACACAATAACAATGAGTTATCTGATAGCTTTAAGACCAACCAAGTTGTTACATGTGGGCTTTCATGGCCCCACTTCCTCAGATACATGGAATACAAATGGTGGGTCATCGAGAAAGAATTCTTATTCCGCTCCCAGAATCTTTACAGATATTTGGGGTCTTCAAGGAAGCTACATAGTGAATGCTGTGACAGTCGTTGCACTTTACTGTATCATCATCATCATCATCATCATCATCATCATCTTAGAACTGCAAAGTTGGAAGGGACCCTATGGATCATCCAGTCTAGCCCCTGTGAAGGAGACCCAATGGGGGAATTGAACTCCCAACCTCTGGGCTCTGCAGCCAGAGACTTAAGCTACTTAAAGCTACTTCAGCTGTCACTTGGAAGCAGGCTTCCATTCCACTA